GTCTTAAGGGAACATATACAAGTCATGCTTATCAAATTTGTGACTTAAATGAACTGAGAACAGAATGGCAATTGCATTAAAGATAGGAAAAAAGCCCTACACCCTGACAAATGGAAATCAAACATGCTAATGTTTAATACAGTCACACTTCCATTCCTAAATAAAACAAGGCAAAACAAACACAGTTTGAGGATGCATCTGTGCCAGCTGGAGGATGGGAAGACAAGGTGCAATGGCAATGCACACCGAAGAGTTGGCGATACGAGGCAACTATGTAAATGTGGTAACCAGATCCACACTAACTGAAGCATCTTCAGTGGAAAATGATCAGGATGGTAAGAAAAAGAAAAATGCTATTTTAAAACTTAAAAGAACTACTGACAGCCCAAAATAGAGAAGCCACATGAAAAGCAGCTTTAGGGGCACCTGGGTGCTCAGTCGTTAAGCGTCTGCCTTCGGCTCAGGTCAGGATCCCAGGGTCCTGGGATCGAGCCCCGCATCGGGCTCCCTGCTCTGCGGGGAGCCTGCTTCTCCCTCTCCCACTCCCCCTGCTTGTGTTCCCTCTCTTGCTGTGTTTCTGTCAAATAAATAAATAAAATCTTTAAAAAAAAAAAGAAAGAAAAGCAGCTTTAACTCTCTAAAGGGCTGTCACAAAGAAGTACAAGAGACTACTTTGTGTAGCTCTGAAAAACAGAACCAACTAAAGGGGGTGATTAAAAGGAGGCATGTTTGCATTTAATGTAAAGAGGAACTCTGTAACTGAGCTGAGATCGATGGGCTGCTTGCGCATCACTATAGCTATGCAAGCAGAGACTGAAAGATCACGTGGTAGCTATAAAAAGTTTCCAATATTGGATAAATGATTGAATTAGACCAAGGGTCTGTAATCTATAGCCCATGGCCCAAATCTGGCCTGCTGCTTGGTTTTGTGAGTAAATTTTTCTTGGAACACAGGCATGATCATTCAATTATGTATTATCTGGGTCTGCTTTTGTGCTACCACCAGGTCGGAGTAGTTGCAACGGAGACTATATGGCTTTAAAGCTGAAAATACTTACTCTATGGCCCTTTACAGAAAAAGTGTGTCAACACCTGAATTAGATAATTAAGAAGATTCCTTCTAATTCCTCTATGAATGTTAGCTTCAGAGTGCAAGTTTTCTGAGAGCAATGACTGGCTACTTATAAGCTTTATCAGAAAGATGAGTAGACAGGGATCCCAATTCAAAAATAATCATTTTTTGAAACTTTATCACTTACCTGCCTCCTTCCCATCTCCTTCAAAAAGAGTTATAGGATGCATACTGACAAAAATTCTTAACAGAGTTTAAATTCATTTAAGTGAGTTGTGATACTCTTAAATAATTAGGCATACCTTCTGTGCTGTAGACCAAGGCTGTGAATTAAATGCTTAATCATAATCAAATGCTTTAGTTCTTTAAAACTCAACATTTACAGTAACAATGCAGTAAATTGGATTATGATAAGGAAAAAAGATGGCATCAAAACTCCTTTCCTTTTCAGAGTTGTATAAAGGAAACTGGATTCACAGAAGGTTCAGATTTTTCTCCTGTTTATTGTTTCGTTCACCCTGTAACTTTAGCTACATCATTTTTCTTTGCCCTACTGCAGAATGACATAAAGTCAGCTGCAAATAATTTGACACCTTCCACCCTCCCTCCCACTCATGGCCCCCCCAAGCTAAAGGCATAATGCAGAAGAAACATTTACCAAATCTTTGTGGGGTCTCTTGGGAGACCTAGAAAATCAAACCCAACAACTGTACTAGTTGGATTTTTTTTT